TGCAATGGTTATTTCATCTCATCTCAGGGGAGTTTCTTGACGACATGATGCTTTTTCAATTTGTCAGAAAGCTTACAATTATAATTACAGAAGTGATCGATCATCGAGCTAGCACCATGTGAGATAGATAATAGATAATGAAGTGAGCAATCAAATTATCAGCGTTTAATTATTTGCATGTTCTTTCTTACGGCAGTGACAATAATGAACAGCTTTATCTATGTACCTTTTTAAAATTCCATTCAGACTACTAACTTATAAAAACAACTGATAGTCTTTTCAATTTATTCGGTAATCAACACGAGTCAATTAATGGCGATGAGGGATCTTGAAAGGATCAAATATATGTAAACGAATACCAATTGCTAATCCGAGAACTATTCGACCAATGAACAGTGTTACTTTCTCTGGAGCCGCTGCGCAAATAATGGCACCGACTACAAACGCGAGACTGGACGTCAGAATAATCTTTTTTCGACCGAATTTGTCGGTGGCTGGACCCGACAGCAGGGCACCAATCGCTGCCATCCCTAGATCACAGCTCAGATGATCACTTTCAAATTCAACAAAATGTCAGGTAACGAAAGCACTGATTAGCAATTCACTCTGATCAATTGCAACTTTCCAGTCTCGTCTCACTCTGAGAATGTTTTCTGGTAAATAATGAGTGCTATGAAATTTTAAAAACGATGATGCATTGAGCACTCTGCAAAAGACATACGTGAATCGCTCACCTGGTGTTATGCTAACGATGAGCTCCTTCCAAATAGCACTCATCGGACTCATACCAGAGTTGTGTGCAACATACAGCATCGCACTCGATACAATTCCTGTATCATAGCCGAACAGAAATCCGCCAATTACGGCCATAAACGACAGCAAATAAACGAAAAAGCCCAACTGGGGCAGTTTCTTCGGTTTGGGGTTCATTGACTCCACGGCTGATGCCTTAAGTTGTTACTGGTTGAAGAATTTAAAATTGTTCGGAATCAATTCGAACACATCTTCTAATTTCAGACTAAACCACAACGACGCAAAAAAAATCTCTTCAAAAATGCATATAATCAGAGTGCAATTGTGTGAGANCAATTGCTCGTTCTCTATCTGCACGCGAACTAATTCTATACGTTGCTTACCAAATGTACCTGTTTCATAAACAAATAAATAGTTATGAGGTCAAACCAGCTGAGTGCAGTGCATGAAAGAAGTGCTCAGAACTAGACAATCCTTCGAATAGAAAATATCAGGAAATTTTCTCTTTTTGAATTGGGAAATTTATTAATAAATGACGTAGAATAGCGGTTTTCACAGAGCTCAGGAGGAATTCGTCTTCTGGAGTGGATGTGGGGTGAAGGTGAGGGGGGGGGGAGGGGAATTAAAGTTAAAATTGATTGATTTTTCTCATAGTTCCTCCACAGCCGTGAGATAATATTCTCAAAATGCTCGTATGGTCACGATGAAGTAATTGACTTCAATTAAGGACAAACGATGGAACAGCAAAATGCCTACAGTCAAGTTGCGGACATGGAGAAGGAGAGCCTGAGAAGCGCTGGCTTCGGGATAAGCAACTGAGCAGCCCAATAAAAGCTAGTGTATACTGTGGCTAGTCGATGTTAACGATCATTTTTATACATTTATCAATCATGCTTTCAATACGGAATTCTTGAGTGATCAAATACACACGTCACTACTTGTTGACGTTTTTCACACTCGTGGGCAGCATCAATGAACATTCGCTACTATTCTGCAATATTTGCATATAATCACACGTTTAGTAATTCATTCGGTTCCGTATAGATCTTTGATTTCAGTGAATATTGAAAGCAAACACAGTAAACACACGAGTAAGTTCGGGTCTAGTTATTGCACAATAAACAAGGCATCACCGGAACATAATCGAATCAATGGAACAGCACCCTCCATTGATTTCCTCTTGATACTAGTTTTCGCTGGAATTCGTATATGCTTTCGTTAAATGATTGTTTCCATGGAATGAATCATGAACGTCATGAAATTTCTCTAGCCTTAGTAAACGTAAGGTCAATCAAACATGAGATATATTCTCAAGCAGTGAACGGGTCAAACCACATTTGAGTGAGCAAATCACAAAAGCAGCTCTAGTGAAGTACATGATTTATTGAAATGTTCTTGAGAAATCATTCGAAATGTGTTGATGAATCCAAAGAAGTTGATCGCAGCGCATTCCTTCAGAAATTAGAATTTACCGATTGATGAACGAGATGTTACGTACGTATACATATTGAACATTTGATATCATCACAGAATCACCAATCAAACAGCCCGCTCTGTGCAAATGGAAATTCTCTTACTTACGATTAGAGGTATTCCAAAGGGAAGCATCGGAAATTTTTTAGCAGTGATCGTTCACGACGTAGTTTTTCATGGCTGTGGGATGCTAAAAAATGTGTGCACTTAGCTGAATTTATCGTGCTTATTTTATTCGGACGCCTAAAAAACATGTAGAGAGCAAAAAGTAAGCACGAAGATATCAAACAGCGCCTTACACGTACATTTTGGTGAACGGGTGTTATTTTACCTGGATTAATTGGATGAATGTAGAGTTGTGTTTGCAGTTAGTTCCTGAACAATGCCAACGCCAGCAACTTTTGAACATAACGCATACGTGAACAAGTTTGCACACCTAACTGAGGTAATGTGATAATCTCCTGTGAAATCTTATATGGATGGCTTTGTAATGATCAAACTTCTGACTAATTAGTTTACTTTCCATTCCAAAGCATTCACAAAATATTTTTTGCACTTGGATTCATTGTTCAGATAACGTGACATGATCATGGCAAATCATTTATTCGTTTATTCACAGCAATCTTATTTCAGCAATCATACGATATTATGTGGTGGTAGTGAATGATGTACAATTGTTAACACTTTTCCATTGTTAAATTTTAGTCCAATCAAACTTGCACATGTAACAATTATAATAAACGCATTTTCGTTTTCATAAAATCGAGCAAATATTTGCACAACGTGATCACTGAAACTACATAGACTTGCTACTGTTCCCAAAACATGTTAGAGTTTGTGTTGTATTGATGTTATTTTTGTTCTGGTATCGCAATCATACGTTCTCGTGTTTCTTGGTTCTTACGGCAAAATTCAATAGCAGTGCTATCAATGAGGACCGCTCAATTCGAATGAATTTACAACTGGAGATGAAAGATTCTGAATGATTTCCATCTCAAATAGTATCAGATCGTTTCAACAATTTTCTAACGTTAACGCGAGTCGGAGATTCTACTCCAAAGCGATGTCACTCGTTAATTTTCAAAAGTGTTCGTAAGGAATAATCAAAATTCAAGCAAAAAACAAGATGAATGCAAATATTAATTCTCAGGAAATGAGGGGACATCACATTGACGAAAATGACAGCGAAAAAATTATAAAGCATTGCGAAACGAAAAAACAAATCGTTCGTAAAAATCCAGATGAGAGTTTTCCTTGGACAACATTTGAATACTGCAACCAACTTAATGTGATCAGTTGAGAAGTTGTAAGGGTAACATTGCTTTGGTAATCAACAAAGCCAGTTCTGAAGCTTTTTTTTGTTCTGACTCAACCCACTTGAATTGATCAGACAATAAAGTTCTTGAATCACATTTCGCTAAACAACCTTTTCAACTGTTCTTCGAGTCAAACAAATTCAATTCGGCGTCTAAAAATGATCCGTGAGAAGATTGGAATTTTCGAGACAATTTCCGAAAAGAAAGATATACAATAAATGGTGAAAAAATGATGCTTCATTGTCCTTCCGTGACATTTACGTCATAACTTTTCACTTGACTGAATTTGGTTCGATTGATCGATCGATTAGTTCAGCGAGATCAGAAGGCATATTTCGAACAGTGGAAATGGCTGCGACCTGCTTCTGTTAGTCCGGGAAATGAAAAGTGCATTTGAAATCAATGAATAGTAACATGCCAGTGTTCAGTGCAAATGTTTAGTAAAGCACGTCTGAAAAGCACTATCAATATATGGCATGGGTAGCGACAGCATTAGCGGTACTGAGCTTAAAGCAATTATGGGAACAATGATGGAACCATGCAATTTATGAAATCTGAGAACAATTATGAAATCATCTAGAAAGTCATTCATGAAAACAATTATGAAATCATTTATGAAAACTGTTACGAAAAAATCATTTTTTGAGAACTTGCTGTCTTTGCTTATAAACATCCAACAAAAGCGTTCCAAACGTAACCAGTAGTTCCAAGATGGTGCAAAGAACAAATGCAAACGTACGATATAATCGTAAGCAAAACAGCAAACAAATGTTTATTTATCACCAAAGTGAACCCTACGAAAAATAAGTACTCAAATGACACTGTAAAATAACGTCTTTGGCTGCTTTCGACTGCATTTTCTTTTTCGAAGGAATCTTAATAATTCCGCTTGCAAAAGACCACAAAAGACTTTTGTCACTGCGTCATCATTTCCACATTACGCAATTACCATTCTTGTCATAAATGAACTTTCTTCAAAATAACGCAACATTAATGTTGTTGTTGGAATTCATCATCACCTCCTTAATGCCGACAATAATGCTCAAAGCACTGAACAATTTTGAAAATACCACCAGCGTGAAGAATATGAATTACGAATATATTAATGTGCTGCTTCACAAAATTTTAATCTCTCCTATATTTTTGAACGAATTCAGTATGAAAGAGTGTTGGGAAAAATCTAAGAAAGTTCGAGGTCAAAGAACGCAGTCCATGAATAAAGATAAAAGATGACATTCGGCATCACTAAAATGTTCAGTGTTCGAAATGCGTTGATGTTTGTTCGAGTTATATGCTGATGGATTTGAATCGATTTCAGCATGCAATGAACAGTCAACAGAAATGAGATTTATGCATATTCATTTCACAGTAACGTAGTGAAATGATATTCGCCTTGTACACAACACTTATAACATGAAAACGATCAAGAACGTGGTTGCAGTGTACGTTTACAATACTTGAATGCAGCTTTTATTGTAATCGTATTCAGTCATTGTTTTCAATCGATCTCTATGATAGAAGTAATTATGCTGAATATTCGGCAACGTTAGCAGCGAATANACATTCACATTCACATTCAAAACAGTCTAGTGAATCATTCGCGTGGAGCTGAAAATGAATCGAATTATATGCATTACCGACACTGATGACACGGTAAAGGTGTAAATAAAGTATTAGTTGATAACTGTCTAGGGGTGCCCGTAGGGGGTGAAATTACCCACTTTTGGGCAATTTGGAGGTGTTAAGATGGTAATGCAGGGGTCGGAAAATTATGACGTTAGTTAATTACTGTAGTAGGAGGGGAAGGGTAATGACAGTCTGCCATACCATCGAACGGGATAATGCAGCACCCGAGCGTGGGAACCACTGCTCAACAGTATGCTATACCTGGCTTAATTGAGGTGTTTGTAAGATAAGTATGCAAAATTGCTTCACAACACATTGTGAAAGTTGAGAATCTGTTGAATCTGATAGTATCAATAAAACCATGTGTTGCTGATAAAAATTGAGGATACAGGTAGTATGAAAATGATACTCGGGATATTCCTATAGAACTGAATCATTGACCATAGAGATCAAATGTGCAGAGTTTTGTGGTATTCGAGATTCACTCGAGTAGTTTGACATATGGTTGGAAAATCAGTTATATTTTTTGAACTAAGCAAAATACCTTGACAACAAATATACTATTCTTTAGGCCTAAAATGTGCTGAATGCAATGGTAGCAACAATAATGGTGTCGTTGAGCATACTTGAGGATACAGCTAGTTTTAAAACGGTACTTATAGCAAAGGTCCCCTCAGGAGGAATTCCCCCCATGGGGATTTTTGGGTAATTTTGAGTGATCAGCTGAGCTAAGAGTATGAGACACAGCTTTCATAATATTTT